ATGCGGGGGCGGGGTTGCGGGGCCGGTGGCGGGCCTGCGGGGTTAGGCGGCGGGGTACCCGGGGCTGGGCGGCGGCGGGGGTCGTCCGGCGGTGGCGGGGTTGGATGGCCCCCACGGCGGGGGTCCGGGGTCCGCAGCCTCACACCGGCTTTGCCCCCGGGGATCCCCGCTCGACAACGCTTGCCAGAACCACCCTGCTACGTGTTGAATCTGCAACTCAGGGCCATCCTATCCTCATAACTCGGTGAAAACACCGTGCCACTGTTTTGCAGACGACCGCCATACAATAAAAAAGTCCACTTCCAAGTCACTACCTATCTATGCAGGACACGGTCCCAGTGAGTGAGAATCGAGATCCATTGCTCCCAACAACCTGGAAACTTCCGTGAAAAGTTCACAAGCGCTGTGTCAAAGAACTCGTCTAGATAACCCCGTATCCACAGATCACTCTTCCGTGTGAGAAGAAAATGAAATTTGGTTCCTGGAATTGATGTGAACGTACGTGCCCGATGAAAAAATGAACTTATAACAGCCAGCTTCTGTCGACGATTGGAATAGGAAGCAAAATCTTGCAGACACTGAAAGACCAAGGGCTGATTGATAACGATCTTCTTGTTCTAATGCGTTGTCTGACAAATAATTTGACCCTCCAGAATTTGCATCTCACACCCAATAAAGCCCCACTTCAGGCCAAAATTTGTTTGTGCAAGCACCAAATTGTTGTCGTAACAGCCACGAAATCGTTGTATCATAGATTCTGCTTTCTCCCAAGATTCTGCATCCCTCGATTCGTAACTTACGAATATCGAAACATTGTCCACAGTCCTGCAACCAAATATCAGTTTCTTGTTTGCACCAAGCGAGGACAAAAACACGAATTCGTCATGTGCACAAAGAAGACAGGTCAGTGCCGGACTCATTGCTTTGCCCATAGGAATTCCCACCATCTGACGAATCAACTTACCAAGAACTTCACAAATTTCACGATGTTAAGAAAATCCAGCCGAATCCAGCCATCTTCGCGTTTCCCTTTCGTCAACCTCACTATCCTACCCTGTTTTTGTACCATAACTCTGGACCATCCTTCTCCCTTCCAATAGTCAAGCACCCAAAACAGTGAATGGAGAATAGATTGATGAGGTAGATTGAAGAACATGTCCTTAATGTCAAACGAGCCCCCAGTCAACAACTCGTCTTTTTTCACAGCCTTATTCTTACCGAAGATTCGTTTCATCAAATCATCAGTGCGGCAAAGATTAAAGTGAAGATCCTACAGCAGTCTCCAGAGAAGATAGTTGATAGAGGACGCTACACGTTTAGCCCCGACTACAGATCCTTCTGAATGTGAGGGGCAGATTGGTCTCCATCTAGATACGTCCTTATGCTTGGGCAGACATTAAGCCCTCCCAAAGGTTCCGCCACTTTTCCACACACCGACCTTCTCAAACCCCTTGCTTCTATATAGACTTTTGCACCGATCTAGAAGCACCTGTTCTGAAAACGATGATTCAACAAACGATGAATTCTTCAAGAATAGCTTGTTCATGCCTTCTCCATATACTACTGGATAGCATACGTATGTATCCCACGGATTGTGATCCAGAGGGGTACACACCAAGCCTCGTAACCTTTCTTCAAACGGACTTACGTCGTCCACAGAGTAAGAGACAATACCTCCTCCATGAAGATCCAGGGATTGTAAAAGACAGGAAGATAGTTTTCGTCGGCAGAGAGATTGAGATTGCAGTTTCGGAATAGATTCCACAGAGTGAAAAGATTTGGGAATTTGGCGTTTAAGAGAAGAGAGCGGAGAGACAGCCGAAGGTCACAGAACATTGCGAGAGTGCTTCATACACGAGGGAAATCCATCAACTGTACCAAGTCGGAACGATACATGACCGTCCACACAAGGAAGAGAGTAGTCAGCATCCAAACATGTGCAAGCAAAATCCCCCGATCTTGCCACTTCACGAAAATTGTGAATAATGTTGCCGACAGTTTTGTTTCTGCACCACACTACACGCATCCGCCCGATAATGATATTACTCCAGGCAGGGTGAAGATCAAGATCACCGATTAAATCAGCACAAAGCTTACGGATTCCAGTTTTGCAATAACGATGGTCATAGGTGACCCTAACAACCAACCGCTGTCGAATATGAACCCCAAACCGTATTCTTACTGCATGAGACAAAATGATTTTCAATCTACTGCGTGTTCGTTTTTCCTGAAAGCATCGTACGGCAGAGAAGGCATATACCAATTCCCCAAAACTCCAGGAACGTAATGCAGTTCGGGTATGCGGTTGACCGAGCAGATTACTCAAACAAGGCTTCAAGGCCAATGCTCGGCGGAAAAATGGTACCACTGCTTCAAAACGTAGCACAACACCATCGGACAACCAACCTTTGGAACATCGCAATTGGTCAGTCCCATACAGGCAAGATACAATAGAAGAACCATAGCAGCGTTTGTCTACTTTCCATTTATCAAGCAACAAAGACCCTCCTTTACATACTACCACAAAGTGGGAGACACCATAATCCCTACAGTGGTTCAGAATACGTAATAGACTGGAAGATACGATTCCAACTGAGGAATGAAAGCATAAGAAAGATGTCAACGAGAAGCATTCAGTTCGACAGCAGCCACATCAGATTGCTTGCTACGTAGACGTCGACGTTTGCGCTTACCCAGCCTGCTTCTCCTCACTCGTCGGGGCTTGTCTCTCGCATTCAGGGAGGAGGAAAACAGCCTTATAAAAAATCTTTGAGTAGCATTCAGATCTTCATCAGAGCAACGACAGATAGGGATTGCTACATACTTACTTGGTCCGCACCTACGCAACCACCTATATAGTTTCTCATTGCGTTTACCCTTACTAATAACAGACGCATCATTGACCCGATATACATGCTCCCGCCATCTGGTCTCCAAATCCCGCCGCATACTTCCAACATACAGGTGTCGGCACCACGGGGACACAAGTACGTAGACCAAAGGCCCTTTCGTCACTTCACCTTCTCGCCACCAACCAACAAGATAGGGAGAGAGCTTCGAGGCCCATGGAACGAGACCAGAAAGAATGAGAACAAGAACAGGCAGCCGGAAGAGGGAGTTCAAAACCTTCAGACGGAGGAAGCGAGAAGAAGAGGAGCTAACAAGTTGACACGAGTGGGCCAAGGACCAAAGAGAAGTCGCGCTCGGGAGGGACCCTAAGAAACGGCCGAGTCCCTCCCATCATCCCTAGATTCTTCCCGAGGTTCACCCGCAACATCATCCGACACCTCCTGTACGACCGGCTTCTTTCCGAAGGCACGTTCGACACTCTTGTTGATAATCTCAGTAATCGTCTCACTCAAAGTGGTATACCTAATACCTTCCTTCGTGCAAATCTCCATGACATCGTCCTTCTTAAGATTGCAGAATTCCTTCTTCGATTCACGTATAAATGCTTCGCGGTCGTTATCCCTGACGACCTCATTCCCAGCGCAGGGCTTCTTCTTCCCTTTGGTTATTTGTGGAACCGACCCTCCGACAGCGACTTCAACCTCATCAAGCCTCTCACGAAAGCTGGATTTTGGCATCGCGCGCACCACATTGTCACGCTTCGCCAATTCTTCCTTAAGACACGCATTTTCCTGCTCTGCTTTCCTCCTTCGATTCAACTCTTGCAACCTGAGTTCCTTCAGTGTCTCCACCTCGAGATTGTAGAGTTGCCTTAACTGTGACTTATCTTCACTTCGCTCCTTCCGAGGTGTGACGACTGGCGGCATCTTCAAGGTTGATGCAGACGATGTGGCGATATGGCTTCGTTTGTTACCTGCCCTCAAAGCCTCCCTCTTCCAGGTCTCAGCCTCCTGCACTGCATCTTCATGAGACTGCTTCAACACCCATAACTCGTTCTCCAAAGTTTCCACTCTTCCACATGCACTGACGGTAGTTTCAAGTTTAGCTCTTATCTGCTCTTGTTCTTGAAGAAGGCGAGCCAACACCGCATCATCACTAACCGTCTGCTTGCTGGTAGAAGCGCCTGGGTTCCCCATCGCCTGTCGTTGACCAATCTGCAATATTTCAACCTGCTTCTTAAGTTTCTTCAACTCCTGATCTTTTGACCCAGCAACCTTATCAGAACGCAACGCACTGGATACAGATTCAAATTTAGCATTTCATGAGTCATTCATTTCCTTTTGGAAATCCTCTCTCTTTCTTTTCTCTCATTCTCCATTCTTCTGCCTCATGTTCGCATTTGAGTTTTTCCTCTTCCTGTTGCTTCGCCATAACCTTAGCAACCTTGGCATCATAGCATGCCTTTAGTTGCCCCACAGTATCCTCTAAGGCTGCTACCCGTTGGTTGGTATTAAACCATCCACTACCCTTCTGGTATTGAACACCCGTGCCAGATGCAGTCGTCACAATCGTGGATGTAGAGGATGCGTTGATCTGTGGGAGAGGCGGAGGAGAGGTGGGGTAAGGGAGCCGAGGGAGGGGGTAACGCTAAGATAGGTGCTTGCACTGAAATAGCAGCAAAATTGTGGTTGGCGTTCGAGACGCCCCGCTGATGGGGACACCATCTTGCGAAATGGTTGGGATCGCCACAATTGTAGCACGTGCGCACACTAGGGGCAGGATTAGCCATAGTACTACTAATATCAAATGTTTACCGCCAAAAACACGAAGCCACACAACCAGTCTAGCCTATAGCCCAACAGGCCTCGCCCACTTAAGGCTTGGCACACCTTGCTCATTGGTTTTTTTCGCATCGCCTCGCCACGCTACCACGACTTTCTTGGTCACCCAATCAGGTAGGTCGTAGCATTGGCCCCCCGACCCTTTCTAGAATTTGACCCCGCGGCCTAATAAAATAAAATATTTAAACCACCAGTACCTCGCCCATCTATCAAGTCCGAGGTTCGGACTACCGGTAGCCCGATCATTCCCGAGCCTCGGACTTTATTGCCAAGCCTTGGACAACCGGTAGCACATCATGAAAAAAAGAAAAAAAGAAAAAAACACGAAAAAACATACAAGTTGATACAACATTCTGCAAAAAAAAAAAAAAAAAAAAAAAAAAAAAAAAAAAAATTTGGAAAAAAAAAAAAAAAAAAAAAAAAAAAAAAAAAATCAGATATGCCCAACGAAAATGAATCTTCCTCGATAAAGAGGAAGATTCATTCTCGTGGGAGGTTCTCACAAAGAGAGAGAGAGAAGGCGTTAGAAAGTCTGACGCCGAGTTTTGTGCACCAAACTCGTCGTCTGGCACTATGTATGCCTTCCCCCCACAACTCTCGAAATGTGCAAATGAGAATGAACTTCCCGCTAGAACATGCGCAGATCCTCTCTCTCTTTCTTTCTCTCTCTCTCTCTCTCCGAGTCTCTCTTTCAACGTCCAATCTTCCGCGATAACTGAGGTCGAATTCTTGGGTAGTTTCCCGTGCTCAAAATTTGTATCGTTATAATTGCTCTAGTATCTTAGTTGACATTATAGAAAGTTGAATCCCATAATCGATTCCTCTAGGATAATTCCAGGATTACTAATCTAGATGTCTAGTAACCCTATTTCTTCCTTGGACCCTCAATCAATTTAGAGTTCTGTATGATCTGTGATCCATCTTAGTATATCAATCAACGTATAGTTTATATGTATCAAGGGGTGTATGATGAATGGTAGACTTCACATTTCACAACTATGGCGAACCAGTTCGAGTTTCCCAGATGACACTCTCTTTCGGTAAAGCCAATTATAACCCACACCTGCACCAATGCAAGAATTCACATACGCACACATAAATGCAGACACTGAATGCAGTACGAGCGTCAACTTTAACCCGTTAAGGACTTGTCCCTCACTTCCCAAAACCTTGGACAAACATTATTTCCTACCTCTGACCTTTTTGCCCAACCTCCTCACTAGAATCGAAGTCCCTTGATAGTGACTAGGACAACTCAGGCTTTGACATAGGAAAGGTGTCATTTGTCGCTTCTGGCTTTGTCTTTAGGTGTAGGTATCATGTCATGCGAAGTTGAGTAGGAATTCCTACCGACCTATTATCCAACGATAACAAAATTACAGTTTTATACGGTTTCTTCCGTAATCTTCTCACAAAAAATGATGAAGACATGTAAGCACAGCACAGTCCAATACAATCTTAACATTTTTCCTCTTCAGTATTGTCACATAGAAGGTTTCGTGTGAATGCTAAAGGTAACTTTTGTCCTACTTCCCACTATGGACAACAGTTCAATCTCCCTTCATTTGACTCGGTAATCTTAGATAACAGTTGCTTATCGTTTCTACCCCCTTTGTGACCATCGACCTCAATTTCCCTCTTGACTTTCCTCGCATAGTCTCTTCCTTCCTCATTCTTATGATTGATCCGTTTTTCCTTCTTATACGCTTCTTCCATTTTGGCATGCACAAGTAACATCATCAATCCACCTTAGAATAGAATCATAGGACAAACATCAGTTAGGGGTTATAAGATAGTAGAACTGGTAACACAGAACCGTATTCAGTCACCCTCACCTCAAAAGAATCATAAAATATTTCGTCAATAACTGATTAACCTTCGATGAGACCTTACATTTTTCCCAGTCACCAAGAGGATTAAATATGATAGGACAGATCGTTCGGGATCCATTTTCTCTGGTGTCGCCCAAGTTGATAGGCGATCGGGCAGACCTCACGGAGCCTTGCTCCACCCATCACCGCTACTCGGTGTCCGTTGGTGACAAGACAAACCTCATCGGGCCTCGCTCCTCCTATAACTGATGAGTATTTGAGTAAGGTTAACTAGTAATAAGGCAGACCTCATGAGGCCTCGCTTCTCTTACTACCACCTTCCTCCTCACGTAGATAGGGCAGGTCTCACAGAGCCTCACTCCTCCTATCACCTTTGCAAATTTTCCTTCGAAGAATTCCGCTATCCTACTTTAGCGTTCACATCTTTGAAATAAGGGTACGTCCATGTCCTAAGCCATTCGGAAATCTTTAAGTCAGGTGAGTAGGTCATACGAGAGCTACACCCATGATTGAGGTGACCCACAACAAGGTAGTTCACACGAGAACTTCCTCTTTGCTGTGCACCTTAAAGATCCTTTGACTGATCTTCGAGTCGTGTTAGTTTAGATTCAAGTGTTGGTCAGGTATATAGCAAGGAAAAAGTTAGTCAAGGTTTTTCACATTCACAGTATTCTGGTCAACAACAATTATAACCATACACAATCCCACAACCTTTATGGTGCCTATCCGAACTTATCGTGAACTCAATTTGTCCACGTCATGGTGGTCTATTAACCAGGGCAAGACTTCACGGAGTCCATTCGCTCGCTGCCAAATTTTCCTTCAAATAGACATGCACACAGCGAGACAGTTTACACGAGAACTTCTCATTCTCACCATAATTTTCAGAAACAATTAGTCATGCACAATCCATATTCAAATCTCTTCTCGCATAACCAGTTTTTCTCATACCGAAGTTATCTTTCATTTTTGCATTCAAGCTCTTTATACAGGCAATCTCACTTCCCTTAGCTTGAACTTTAATTTTGAAGAAATCTATGAAAACAATAATACATTTTTACTGATACAAGCACAGACAATCATGTAAAGGTCATAGTTTTTTAAGGGTTTTCGATTTGGAGCGCGCATACCTTTCCATTCCCTGCCTCTAGAGTTCCGCCCGAACTCCGGCAGAGCTCCCGCAATCACCCTGTTACCCGGGTGTGTCTAAGCCGAGCAAATATTTAAGAGGAATTAGAGTTTCTCAGGGTCAAGATTTTCCCTCAAAGCACCAATTGAAACTAACATTTTGCAACCATTGTTTGAAAAGACTGGTGTTCTAGAGGATTAGATAAGGGGAGAATGAAGGAGGATGGAGGAGGTAGGCTATGTCGTTATTGACGATGATTCTCTCCCGTCCAATACCCCACACATTTTTCATCTCTGACCCTCATCCTATCGTATGATTGTCGGGTAATAATAATAATAATAGTGACAATAATAAATATAATAATAATAATAATATAAAATAATAATTATAGTAATTATCAATGATAACAACAATAGAATAGTAACAAAATACCCATCAATACCTTAAACGACCTTGCAAGACGCAAGACCAAAAAAATTAATTAAAATAGTAGTAATAATAGTAATAGTAATAACCAGGGTAACTGGCATTCGGGACGGGCTGAACGCTGTCGAGCGCATCGGTCCGGCACCGCACGGGGCAGCGCGGGACCCTCCCGGCCGCATCACGCAGGAGTTGGTTGAAATCCTTCGTCTCCAATACACATGGAGCTTCCGCAAGCCGCTCCGGCCGAGTGCGCCAGCCATACCTTCCGCGAGCCCCTACAACAGGATAGGGCCTATGCGAGACACGACTTACATCCACCTGACGGGAGTTGTCACCTCCCTTCGGTGGACGTACCCCCGTCGTGCTACCAGTCCACGCTACAAAAGTTGATCAGTTGCAATCGCAGAGGTGGACCAGCTGAGGGCGTTTTTCGTTCGTTGTAGCATAGGGGGTACGCGCGGTAGTACGCCTCTATCGGACCCGCACGCGAACCAACATCTTAGAGGGCTGAAGTCCCAAGCGCGGCCCGCCGTCGGTCGACTAGGACGGATCCCACTCACCACACGCACACCACACTACGAATACTACGAAAAAAAAAAAAAAAAAACACACACACACACACATCAAACAACGCGACAACACTCTTAGTCCCTTCAGTAGATATCCCATAACTTTCCGACGCGGAAACCGGATAGGCAACACGCGCGAGACTTAGTATAAAATCGCGCGGATGCAGGGCCTACTCATATCGACTAGCAATGCAAATGTACGCAAGCAGTCGCACTGATGGCGTACTTTGTAGTACCCATACTCATGCGAATCTCATTGATCTCGAGGGTCGCGTTCGACACTCAAGTGTCGGCTGACACGCGCCTTGAGGTTTAATCTCTCGACGCTGGACAACTGCTTAGTGCGGTTGAGAACCACACCCTCTTCTACACCCTGCGGAGAGTGGGTGGTACACAGATTCGTACCTGTGGTGGCAGTTCTCTCTTATCGCCCTGGAGACCAACTCCTTTTTCTAGGGTCTGGAGATAAGTCAAG